CTATAAAGATGCCGACCACAGAGACTGGCAAAAAGTTAGAAAGAAAACCCTCCAGAACATGGCCAAACAGCCCAAAAAACCTACAACAACCAAGCTAGTCACTTCTTTGGGAGGCTCCAGTCAGGAAGACGAAATCCAAGAAGAGGAAAACTTTTCTTCCAGGGTGTCATTTCCCCACCTTTTTGCCATAAACCCATTCTGATGGAAAGTCCTTCCACATTCATAGCACAAAGAATGAAAGAGAAGGATGCTGAGGACTGCTGTCGCCTCCCTCTTTCCTCGAGCTTTGGGACTGTTATTCTTTTCTCATTCCAAGGCTTTTTTAATGAGAGTCCTCCTCTGGCAATCTCCGCGAGTTCTTTCTGGTGGACAGACCAAGTCTCCTTGTATGTGTTATGTGTGGTGGCATCCAATTGTTGTCTCCTCCCTTTTCTGCTTCAGTTCAAATGATCTTATCACCTGAACAGATCTGTTTTTTTAAAAAGTAGATACTCCAGTGGTAGAAGAAAAAACTACAGATTTGTAATGATGGGAACTCTGGGCTAATTCACATTTCCTTTTTTCAACAGGGGGACAGTGAGTAAAATGTGAATCAGCATGTTCCAAACATGTAGCATTTCCTGATTGATTGATTGATTGATTGATTGATTGATTGATTGATTGATTGATTGATTGATTGATTGATTGATTGATTGATTGACTGCCAATGTGGACAAAACGAAAGGATGAGGAGGATATAAAGAAAAAATCCACATTGCACAACTGGGGTGGGCGACTATATGGGTGAGACAGATTCCCAACACAAAATGTGGAAGAGTTTGCCATTTTCGACTACAACTCCATATAAATGCATCACAATCATATGTAATGCCTGGAGTTTGGCAAAGACCTAGAGGTGCTTAACTGCAGTTCTGTGCTTTATGTATTAGCTCTGTATATTCTCTCCATGTTTAGATCTTGCTTTGTTGACCTTGGGGTTCTAAAAACTCAAAATATCTATCCACAGGTGAAAAACGACTTTGAAGTGAACCTCAAAGTCAACAGGAAAGATGTCCTCCACTTTCTGGGCCAGTACCATAACAAATCTAACATGTCCAATTCCCAATATACTGTCCACATGGAAATGGCCCATTCATTCCAGGTACTACTTAACTCTGTAGAATAAAATCAACCTTTTCCTTTTCTCAGTCTTTCCTTCTTATCTCTCAGTTTTCCTTTGTGTCACTTGTATCTCATTTTCATTGGATTCAGGGTTAAGGGCCATAATTTTATTTGCTAATTCTAATACCTTTGTGATCAATGCATTGTATACATGAAGCACTAGAGCAAAGAATATTAATACCAGTTGCTTAATTCCCCACTAATGTCAATGGATCTTTCACGGACATAACTGGCCACATGGTTGCATTTGCATCTGTACCAGAGCCTGGAAACATTGTTCTTTTAGAAAACTACAACTCACAGCATCCCATGGGCAGCATGGCCACTGGCTTTGCTGAGTGTGTATTCCCCCCTCCCCCACAAATTCTGGTTCTCCGACACAGTTTTTCCTTGAAGAGGCAAAAGACTGTACAGTGGTGCCTCGCACAACAAGTGCACCGTAGAGCGATGCCTCAATAGGGAAAAAATCGCAGAGCGAAGGTTGGTAAGCGGTTTGCTTACCGACCTTCGCTTTGCGACCCGCCGATTAGCTGTTCGGCGGCTACAAAATGGCCACCGAAAGCCGCAAAATGGCCGCGCACAGCGTTTTCGCGCCCTCGTTAAGCGAGGGGAGGGCGCGAAAATGGCTGCCAGCCATCGGAGAAACATCGCTGAACGGTGAGTACAGCGGCCGATTGGAACACATTAAACACTGTTTAATGCGTTCCAATGGGCTTTTCTGCCCCGCTCAGCGATGTTTTCACACAGCGAGGGTTAATCCGGAACTACTGTATGTACCACAAATCTCAGCTTTTGCTATTGTGATGAAAAATTCCCTGAATTAGAGTACAGTATTTAGCTTTCATTCCTGAGAGGCCACTTATCTTTAACACCTATATGAGAACAAGCAGGTACAACATTGTTTTCCCATAATAGGAACAAATGACCCTATTACATTTGATGAGTGCACATCTGGAAGTTTGTATTCGAAAATTAAATTAAAAAAACACAATTTACACATTTTTAATGTTCAGGATGGAAAAAAATGAAGTCTAAAAAATAAATCTTGAGAGAAGAAAAACTTTCCTATATCAAACCCCTAACCTAGCCTCACATGTATAACTTCGGCTGTATAACCAAAAAAGTGGAATTAGTAAATGAAGTGACCCTAAAGTCATGGGAAAACTAATCAGAACATATTTTGTCAGTCTGCTAATAAACGTACGTATATATAACATATAAATTAAATTTTTATTCAATTCTATATAAATTGTATAAATTAAATTGTTTTGTTTTTTTCTTATAAAGGTAGGATAAGGCAGCTGGGATGGGGGTACCCTCGGAGGTGGGCAGTTTGAACGGATACATTACAAATCAATATTTTTCATAGTAATTCTATACATTTGCTTCTAGTAATAGTTCCACATATCATAGAAATATAAACAGTGAGCAAGAAGAAAAAAATCAAATCCAGACACATATCTTGTTGTTCTAATTATTGAGTCTAGTATATCTGGCAAGATATTTAATATGAGTAGTTCTGGTACCATCAGTATTGGAGTTTCTAATATCTCTTGTACCATCTGATTCACTTTACTCCAGTATCTTTGGGTGTCTTTGCACATTCACCACATGTGATAAAATGTTCCTTCTTTCTGCTTACATTTCCAACATATATTTGAAATCTGGGTACTTATTTTAGCCAGTGTTGTGGGGATCAGGTACCATTTGTAGAACATTTTATATATATTATCTTTAAATACAACAGATTTAGTTAATTTTATATTTGTTTTCCAAATTCATTCCCATTGATCCAGTTCAATATTATGTCATACATTCTGTGCCCATTTAATCATGCATGCCTTAATACATTTTCCCTCTGATTCTAGAAGAATTCTGTCAAAGTTCTCCTTTTTGGTTTCTGAGACTTAAGATATAATTTTTTGTCCTTTCCTTCTTTAGCTTATATGCTACCTACTTTACCTACTTTTACCTACTTTACCTACATTTATCTACTTTATTCACATTTTCAAAATATGTTTGTTTCGTAAATTTCAATTTATTAAATTAAATTGTTAACACCTTTTCCTTTCCTACTAGTTCAAGATTCCACAGTCAGTCTCTATGAGTGGAGAACTCCTTTCAAGGGAATCCAAACTAGCCAATTGTGTCTGGGTTTTGATGATCAAAGCTACAATCAACCAGCAAAACATTTCCCAGGTCAGGTTTCATAGTATGGTTCCAGGCAACAAAATGTCAATATTTTCACCAGATGAATCCTAGCTAGACTATGGAGAGCAGTCCCTTCAGATTTCTTGCAGCCTAGTGGCAAGGCAAAGCAAAGCGTGCTGCTTATATACCGCCCCATAGCACTTCAAGCACTCTCTGGGTGGTTTACAATTTAATTATGCAGGCTACACATTGCCTGGGTACCCTCGGAAGGATAGAAGGCTGAGTCAACCTTGAGCCGGCTACCTGGGATTTGAACCCCAGGTCGTGAGCACAGTTTTAGCTGCAGTACAGCAGTTTAACCACTGTGCCACGAGACCAGAGAAGTTCTTTGCAGAGAAGCCACCTACTTGCTGTTCAGTTGTTCACTACAGGGGTAGCCATGCACAGATCAAACAGGTCAGGACTGACCCTGCCACTAGGCAGTGAGGCATCTACCACAGCCGGTAGAATGCCAGCAGGTTTAAATAGTGCTGCTGCTTGGCGCTCCCAAGATAACTCATTCTCTAGAACTGAGCAATCCCTAATTGTCTCAGTCAAGGAATTGGTGCTCTGGGTAGCAGTGATGAGGGAATGAGGGGAGTGGCGGCCATGTTCCTGTGCCTCAGGCAGCTTGGGCCACTACAGGCAAAGTGCCTCTTTGGGGTCAGGCCCAAGGAGTGCAGTAAGCAGCACAATAGTCTGCTGAAATCATGCTGATGGTGAAGTAAGCACAGAACTCTGCCACATATTTTTTTCACCTGAATTGTTCTTCTCAGGTATATTTCACAATTCTTTTTTGAATACCAGACCCAGGTGTTGGTCAGTGGTTTTCCTATCTTAAGTTAGCATCAGTAATGCAATGGATCATGATCATCATTGGCCATAATATTAGGATAGGAGAGCTTGGCTACAACCCGGTGTCTCCTATTTAAAATGACTAAGTGACTGTGGTCATTTCACCACCATGTTTGGCTAAGATCTTCAAGGGCTGAACAGAAGAGTCTCCTATTGGAAGCCACCACCACCCCCGGCCAATAGTAGACGTGGTTTTCTCCTCTCACTTGCCCTTGGTTGTGTGACTAGGCATCCAATTGTTTTTTTTTTTCTCACCAGATACTTTGAGGGGACATGATGGGTGGCCAGCAAAGCAGTTAGAATCCCTTAGATGATTCCCCTTGTGCAATCCTGTAAGTCAATAGGATTCTGTCTCACCTCTTTGCAACTAATCTGTTGCAATGAACACATCTATTCCGGGTTGTCACCATATGTGTGTGTCAATTTGAATCTACCTGTGGTTTCTAGTTAAACTGTCGCTCTGACCAGGCCTGCCATCAGTGGGACTGCAACTCCCATTGTCTCCAGCAAGTAAGGATGATGTTGCCATGTGGAGGAGGAGAGGGTTGGGGAAGGCTGACATAGCCACTGTTTTTCCTAATCAGAACTTTCCCTTATCCTCTTTTGAATCCCTTTTGACCCAACAGTTCAGTGCCTGGCTGAATGGATCCAATACTGGTTTTGGAATTTATTCTCAACTTTCCCACTGGAATCAGTTGAACTTTCCTGCAGACTTTCAGGTACCATGATTTATAGTGTTTCCAACCACCACAAATAATGTTCTCCTGGCCCAAATAATTACTCCAGTAAACAAAGCAGAATCTGGCATGTTGATTCTTCTTCTACTTCCCTGAATCAGTCTATAGAAAGCACAATTTGCCTGGTGCAATACAAATCGAGTCTATGGGAGTCTCCCTATATTTGTCTGGTAAAATTTCTTTGCCTGAAAATATCAGCAAGAAACCAGTGGTTCAAAGGATAGCTATAAAAATGCTATGTTTGATTCTCCCCATATTGTATAACTAGTACACAATTATCTGTTGTACAGTTTTAAAATTGCATTTTGTATATTTTAGCCATAAATATGTTTTATGAGCTGGTCATTCGACCGTAATAAATAAATAAAAATTCAGTGTGTGGTGGTTTTCAATATTGTTTGTTTTAATGGGGATGCAGAGAAAAATTGCTTCATTGTATATATATTTTAGATTGTGTGCATATTTCATTTCTCTCATTTGCACCTCCCTGAACCAAAGACAAGAATGAATCTTGCCTGTACACAAGAATGAATGTGATTTGTAGTCATAAATGCACATTTCTTCTTTGTGGCCTCTGTGAATCCACACAAATGGGTTTTACTGTGCCTGCACAGGACTTCTCGGAATATTCTAGAGCTTGATTAGTAGGTACTACGTGATTAGTAGGACGTTGCCCATGGTGCACATGCTCTGCCCACCCGTATTACCTCAGTTCCTTTTAGACGCTGCTGAAATTGAACGAATAGGCCCTCAACGACAACGTCTTCTCTCTTCTTTCCAATCAGTGGGGGACGCCAGGTCTGGACGTCTTTGCCACCCAAGGCAACACCAAGTACAGCAGATATTGCTCCAGAGTCGGCAGAGGAGAAAACGCTCTGGACGATGCCTTCATGGTTGCTTGGGAAAACACCCTACTTTACCTGTTTCTACCCATTCCACTCATCCAGAGGACAATAATCAGGATCCATCAGCTGGATCGAGATGCCATCTTGATAGCACCATGGTATCCTCATCAACCATGGTTCACCACTCTCAGGACCATGACCTCCGAATTTCACAGGTTACCACTTCAACCTTCCCTACTCACTCAGGACGAGGATTGGATTTGCCATCCCGACCTCAGCTCTCTAAATCTCACTGCGTGGAGAATTCTCCCAAAGTGGCTAGAGCAAGGAAGCCATCTATTCAATTATTATATTCATATAAATGGAACTCATTTGTCATATTTGCTAAATTGCAGAAATTGCCCACAATTCCAGTTTCTTTGGATGCCCTTCTTAAGTCCCTTCGTTATCTGTTTGGCCCATTCAGCGTTAAAAGTTTATATTTTGTCAGCATTTATAGCGGAAATCACAGTTTTAGCAGAGTAATTCATGGTTCAGGCAGTCCAGGAATAACTCACACACAGTCCAGCAGCATTTCCTTCAGCAACGTGTATTTACAGCATATTTACATCAGTCTGGCAGCATAACGTGTAGAAGTGATCTTCATGCAGGAAGAAGATACAACTAACTGTACAATCACACATATATACATATACATAACCAATCAGGTTACACATTACATCATCCCTGAGTTGCATCATCCCTGGATTGCATCAGCTCTGCTGAGTCATCCTGACTCAGCTTCAGCACACCTGATCATCATGGATTCTCATTAATACACTCCATTCTGCTCAGGACTGTAATTTTCCTTGACATATTTCTGCAATAGTTTCTTACCACCCTGAAGGGTCTGAAGCTTCCTGTTTGTTCTCTGATCCTACGTTAAAGAGATTTCTAAGAGGACTCAGAAATATGCGTCCACCTGTTTGACCTCCACTTCCCCAGTGGTCTCTCCAGGTCATTCTTTGCGCACTTGCTCGTCCTCCGTTTGAACCCATGGCTTCTGCCAACCTCAAACTTCTTTCTATTAAAGTTTTGTTCCTTGTGGCAATAACCTCAAGCAAGTGAACTGGCTGCTCTTCAAGCTGATGACCCATATATTCAATTTTTCCCTGACAAGGTTGTCTTATATCCAGATGTGTCGTTCCCTCCCAAAGTGATCTCTGATTTCCACGTTAATCAACCTCTAATTCTCCCAACATTATTTCCCAATCTATCTTCTGATGTTGAGCACATGCTCCACTCCCTTGATGATTGTTGTGCCCTGGCATTTTATCTTTCCAGAACCAAGGACTTCTGTATTTCTCCCAGACTTTTTGTCTGTTTCCATGGCCCACGAAAGGGTTATCTTGCCTCCTCACAGACACTCTCAAAGTGGATTGTCTCAGTCATTACACTGGCTTATGAATTGGCAGGCAAGATTCCACCAGAGTTGCTGAAGGCACACTCCACAAGAGTGATGGCAACGTCTTCCTCTTTGTTGTGTGTCGTTGAAGTCCCTGACATCTGTCAAGCAGCCACTTGGTCTACACCCTTTACTTTTGTGATACACTATTGTCCCAATGTCAGGGCCAAGAAGGAAGCAAGTTTCTGTGCTGACTTTGTTGTTGGCATGATGGCCCTCCTTCCGGTAAGTGAGCTTGCTAGTCACCCATTTGTGTGGATTCGCAGAGGCCACAAAAAAGAAAGAGAGGTTACTTACCTGTAACCATGGTTCTTAGAGTGGTGCTTGTGAATCCACACATCCTGCCCAGCCTCCCCGCTGTCCGTCACTTGCTGTTTTGAGGTTTGTGGGGGTCAGAGCTTTGACAGCGGTAGACATGCAAAACTGAGGTAATATGGGCGGGTGGAGCATGCGCGCCACAGGGCAACGTCCTACTAATCACATCTTTTTAAGGCGCAGTAAAACCCATTTGTGTGGATTCACAGAGGACCACTTGAAGAACCATGGTTACAGGTAAGTAACCTCCCTGTTGCTGAGATTGCAAAACCAAACATGTGTTTGTGTTTATTTGAAAGAAAAAGTTCAAAGGAACCTCCGTACAGTTACAAAATTTGCAGAAATGTGCTCTATTAAGTGGGTGAGTTCATCCACAAAAGTCTCTTTCCTTCTGGTGCAGACTTTCATTCCCCTCCACTCTTGTGGGGGAGGGTGGCGGGGAGCCTGCCTGATTTGCTTTCATCGAGTGGAAGATTTAGAACATCTAAGCAGGGGTTGAGAGCAGTCAGTATCCCTGAGCAGTGGGGCTTGAAGCCTTCTAATTCAATAGTTTCTTTGTTTTGATTTTTCCCTGTGCTTAGGTCCATGCTACCGCGAACCGGTATGGAAGGAATGGTTTCAATGGCTCCTTTTACCTCCATTCCAGTGGAAAGGATGTTACCCTGCTGGAGGTAGACTTCAACAACGAGATGAAAAAGAACACCAGAGCCCTGAGAGTGAGCTCTGTCCTAAGACAAACAATTCTGACACAGTTCAACCCTCTGTGGCTGCAGCTCCTGGGCAAGATGTCATCCACAAGGTAAAAGGAAGGGGATGCCCACGGCTGAGGGAGAGATACCCTGCTTCGCTTCACAGGGTCCCTGCTGATCTCTGGCTCAGATTTAAGCTTTGGTTCTTTAGGGTGGCAAAACAATGAGTTGACTTACTGGATTAATCAAATACAACATTATAGTTTGTTTCTAATACAAATGTGAAAATAAATCTGATCATTTCAGCATGTAAACATAAGAAAAAGTAGTATGCTTTGCAAAATTCATTCTGCAGATGTTTAACTATTCTGCCTGATTCAGTCAACTTTTTTTAGTCCTTGGGCCAAACGGCAAGGCGCTACAACAGTGAGTGTTCTTTGCCACATCTTTGGCCTCCGAGTTTTCACTAGATTGTATTCACACAACCAACCCCATTTTTGCCTCATAAGGGCCAGAAAGTTGTTATAGATTACAGCTGAAATTCCCAGTGAAATGTATAGTGGGTGTTACAGTTCTGCAGCTGTTTCTGCACTTCTGCAGGATCAGAGGCTTTCGCAGAGCAGCAATTCAACGGCAGACCTGTTGCAAAGCCCTCCATAGGCCACTGTGGCTGCCCACTCACTTTTGCCTCTTTCTTGCACCTAGGCTTGTGTTATCTTCAGGGATGAAGATAGGCCAGGATGGTTTTCACCTGAGTGTTATGGGATCCAGAGAGCAGAAAGCAGGTCTTGCCCTGCGTGCCAGTGTCCAACACAATCTTGACAGCCTCAGACATATCCTACCTGAGGACCTTGCTTTGGAAAGTTCTCTCAAAAGGAAGAAAAACCTTCAGGAAGGTATGTGACTTAGCTGGACAGTTCTGAATACATGCTCATCCTCCTTGAACACATTTAAGAGTTAGGGAGGATGAAAATTTTGTTTCACTTCATTTTTGATGGGAACATACAAAATTAGCACTTTAAAAATATTCAAGATGAAAAGAACTTTAGATTTTTAATTTAAAAAAACCTGTATCGGGGGGGGGGGAAGCAAAATGAACAGACTCACACATCCAGGCCTGTAACACTGACCTCAGCAGCCTTCAAAACACACACACAAAGATTCATTGTGTGCATGTTTTGTCATAGGACATGATTTGTATTTTATTTGCAGTTTCTGCGTAACACTATCCAAAGAACTCCAGTTATTGCAGTGGAACAGAGTGTAAAACCAACAAATAAACCGGCCACTATGGAAGTAGTCTCAGATCTATAAATGCTCATGCCTTACTGAATTTGTTACTATTTCAAAGTGTGATAAGACTCTTTGTCGTTCTAGAGAACTATCTTATTTCCATTTAACAGCCATTGTCAGCATGTTGGTTAACCGGTCACTGTTTGGAATGCACATCCAGAACAGAAATATGTTTGGCAATGAAAGCCTTCGAAACATCACTGTCATTGTGACTCAGAATGGCAGCCATACATTCCCAGCAGAGACAAAGTTAAGAGGACAACTGGAGCTTAAAAAAGGAAGCCAGAGGTGTGCAGTCAGCGTGCATATGGGCGGAAGGATGCTTTGTCTTGATATTACAAGCATTACCACTGAGGGCCAGATGGAAATCAGTGGTACTCTCACAGACAACATCAGCAGTTTATATACTGCAGGTATGGAATCCTCTAAAGCCCTGGGCCAATAGGACTGAAAAGTGTACTTATTTTTTTTTTATTTAAAATATTTTTAACCTGCCTTTCTCCTTTAAAAGTACTCTTTAACCTGCCTTTCTCCTTTAAAAGGACCCTAGATGACTTACAACAATTCAAAGACAGTATTTAAGTTGAGGGCAACAAGGATGATCAGGGGGCTGGAACCTAAGTTTATGAGGAAAGACTGAAGGAAATGGGTATTTTTAGCCTTGAGAAAAGAAGACTGAGGAGAGATATGATAACATTTTTCAAATACTTGAAAGGTAGTCATTCAGAGGAGGGACAGGATCAGTTCTCGGTCACCCCAGAGTGCAGGGCATGGAACAATGGATTCAAGTTACAGGAAGCCAGATTTCAGCTGAATATTGGGGAAAAATGCGTGCAGGGCATGGAACAATGGATTCAAGTTACAGGAAGCCAGATTTCAGCTGAATATCGGGAAAAATGCCCTAACTATTAGAGCAGTAAGACAGTGGAACCAATTACCTCGAGAGGTGATGAGTGCTCCAGCAGTGACATTAGAGCAGTAAGACAGCGGAACCAATTACCCCGAGAGGTGATGAGTGCCCCAGCAGTGGAGGCATGCAATAAAAACTTAGACAACCACCTGACAGATATCCCTTGATTCATATTATGCATTGAACGAGGGGTTGGATTTGATGGCCTTATAGGTGCCTTCCAACTTCATTATTCTATGATTCTGTGAATTCCAAAAATAGCTGCTGCTAGTAAAATCATCCTGGTGGCAGCAGTTTTGGGAAATTAAAGACTTCCCCCTCCTGTCCCACGACCCCAAATGGTCTACTGATGATGAAAAGGAGACTTGGAGACTTTGATGGACAAATTAGAAATGTTTTATTTCTGAAAAATGGCTATGGCTGATATATTCAGCATTGTAGCTGCATGAACAGCCAATGAAGGGGGAAATGCCACTTTATTAGTATGATTAATATTGTTTCCTAGTTATTTTTGAAGTTATTTTAAAAGGGTAAATTTAAGCATTTTTAGAGCCATTTTGACAGTTAAAGTTTTATGTTGTTCTCTTACCAATCCTCAGAGTTTTTTTTCCCATAAGGGAACAAACGTTACCCCAAGACAGTAATGAGCAATGCAATGTTACTTTTTAAATACTTTAGCTATAACACTCTAATGAGGAATAGGATCACATTACTTTTAAAATATAGCATTCCACATTATGGCCATTGGCACTGAAAAACATGTAGAAAATGTAGAAAACACTGGCTTTCCCTTGTGGTTTCATTTTCCAACCCTTGCTTTTAAAATCTTACCTTTGCTTTGATCCTTACCATTTAGTCCTAAAGTCCATTTTAATTCATGATGAAAGATTCCTTAGAAACTCCAGTTGTTTTAGCTGGGCTACTAGTCAACTGAATGATAAAAGGTCCCAGACATCAAAGCAAAGAGAAACTAATAGATCCACATTGGCATTAAAGAGGAAGTGTATCTTTAGTTACAGCTACAAGTATACTTTACCCTTTAACGGGCTTTTCTTTCAGCATTAGGGTGCTCTTGGAGTGTTTCGCTTTTTGCCTGCTTCTTTCAAGGAGAATAGGCTCGAATGCTTCCATTAGCAACATCTGGAGGGCATTCTAAAATTAGATGAAAGAGAGATGTATTCTGCAGAGGGAATTCTTTCTTATTATGGATGCACTCCAGAACTGAAATCCAGCATAGTTGTGTGGTGCCCTTAAGTGTGACAGTGCAAATTGCTGGCTGTTATTGTGACTTCGCTCAGTTGGATGTTAAAGGTCCCCAGATTTTATTTCTGAGCTTCAGTTAAAGTATGGTTAGGGGACCTTGTTGATAACAGGACTGAAGGTGGGGATGGCAGAATTTGCAATAGAGCTACAGCTGGAGGGTTACACTTCTGTGAAACAAGAGTTGTGGGGGATCCAATTAATTATTGAAACTTTAGGCTTAGGAGAAGAGCTTATTTCCCCAGCTGAAGTTCTAAGGATGCAGAGTCTGGAAAAGTTACTTTTGGGGGGCTACTTTCACAAATTTCCCAGGCAACATGGTCAATGACTATGCTAGCTGAGGGACTCTGGGAACTGAGGGCTAAAAAAGCAGTTTTCCCAAGCCCAGAATGAGATACCTTGCACTGCAGATGCTCTTTAGAATAGGAAGAAATGCTGTGTTGACTTTAGTTTCATTTTGCACATTCTCTCTTTCTCGCTCTCTCTCTTCTCTCAAGGACTCTCCACAGAAAGTAGCATCATAGCCAAGTATTGCCGCGTTGATGCCAATGATACAGTAACTGTACAATTCCAGGGAGGCAACAAACGATTTACTGCTACCTTTGGACTTCAGAAACCAGACCAGGAAATCTTTCAAGCTCAGTTCACTGCAAGGATCAGCCACAACATTAAGAAACTGAAGCAATATGGAATACCTTTCACTATAGAATCTGCTTGTTATTACAAAGTAAGGAAAACCAATTCTGTACAGGGTGGCAAACCTCTTTGAGGGCTACATTCCATTTAAGGGAAGTGCTAATAGGAAGTATTCCAGTCTTTGGTGGGACCAAGAATACCTCCATATTTCAACCTAAAGATCTTACAGCCTTTAGTTAAGACTTAAGTGCATGTCAACCTATTAAAAAAGAAACAAGGTGCAAAACTGGGAAACCTCCAAGCAAAGATATAATGGAGGAAGGAGTGTGGCCTTCTGAGGAACTCCAGAGGAGGGCCAAATTCAGACCTGAGGGAGATTAGATTTGTGCCGAGATTGCCAATTCCCCATCCCTACTTCATAGACAATTTTACTTTTCTGGCCATTGAGGAGGTGTTAGAATGTAAAAGTATTAGAGCAAGCCAACTAACAAATAAGATGTAAAGCAACAAAACAACAGAATTTTCTCAGGTAGTTGATGGTCTCCTTAGTACATTATGATATGAACTATTATGGCCAGGGCTCTTTTGGACTACAATGGTCTGTAAGCACCTTCTTGATAGCAGTTTGTTGTCCTCAGTCTTTATCAACCACTGCCTCACCTGACAGCAAACTTAACTGATGTGTCAAGATTGAAATGAAAACAGAGCCACTGATGTGATTACACAAGGAAACAGAGCACATTTTAGACCACTTGTTGGTGGTCTGGTGCAATAATTTTCCAGCAGTCACATGATATATGGGGAATTGTAGTCCAGCTCAACCCTGATCCATACCCAAGCTGAACATTTTTAGTCCAGTTGTAGGGCTACTATTTTTGGAGCCGTGCTGGACCAATTCCCCAACAGACTGAAGGTACACTTTAAGGGACTTTGCTCCTGACGAAGTGACCCTTTCCAATATGCATGCCTTTCCCACTGTCAGATGACACCCTAAGAAACAAGAGGGACATATTAGTATATGCAGGATATTTAAAGGTTTACAGAAATATTTTTTAAAAAGGGGGGGATAAGGACTCATCCAGACAGAGTATTTGTTGTGGTTGTGTTTTGTGGTGCTGGGTGAGTGCAGACTTTATCAAATTTTCTGTCTGTGCTCACTCTTCAAAATCCCACTTTGCTTCTCTTTAAGAAATCATCCTCCTTTAAAGAAATGGTTCAGAAATATTTCTAAAAGCTTGAAGAAACACTTTCGAAATGATTTTCCATTCTGTTTTCTTCTAGCACTACTATTGAAAGGTTCTAGTCTGAGTCCGTAGCAGCAGAGGCTCACTCTGGAAATCTGCTATCTTTCAAAAAACACACACACGCACACACACAAACATATAACTCTTTCAAAAAGGTTGAGAAAACGCTTCACTCTGGAAATCTGCTATCTTTCAAAAAATACACACACGCACACACACAAACACATAACTCTTTCAAAAAGGTTGAGAAAACTCTTTAAAATTTGTGTGTGTGTGTGTGTGCTGGATTCTGTTGTAGTTGTTTTAGTACATTACCACTATAAATGAAAGCTTCTAACTGAAAGAATTCCAATTGAACTCTGCTCCAATTTAAAGGGAAACAAATTTGAAAAGATTTTTTTAAAAACCTCAGAAAGCCAGATTTGGTCACTGTTGATACTGAATTGAGACTTCTGTTGTCTGGATGACAAGAGAAAAACTTATCTCATTGGTTCACATGTGGGTACATATAAGGGAACAAATGCTCTATTTGGCTGGGCACAAAGCTGCCAAAAACAAAACAAGAAGCCCTCCTCAGAAAGAGGTCAGTGGGGACTGAGGATGCCACAGAACTCTAAGGATCAAAACTAGTGCCGAAGTGCCAAAATGGTGCTTTGTTCTGGTTCGTGGGTCGTCCACTAGTGATGGGGACGAAGTGCCAAAATGGTGCTTCGTTCTGGTTCGTGGGTCGTCCACCCATGAATTGCCCCCCAGTGGCCCGATGAACCACGAATCACTTTGTCAGTTCGTCAGGTCATATTTTGTTTAGACAGCCCTTGGGGCTAAATAATAATTTAAAAAGCCCCGGCCCCCACAGCCTTCCTATGGCACGGGGGCATAGAAAGAGGAGGGAGAGGATCAAAGTGGGATCAAAGCGATCCCCCAGCCCCACAATCTTTGCAAAGACAGCGGGGCTGGGGGATTGCTTGGGCCCCCCTTCAGTTTTCTTTCTATGCCTGCTCGGGCATAGGAAGAGGGGGGAAGCCTGATAGATGAAGGGACAGATATAAAGGGTTATATTAGTTTCTTTGTATTTGTCGGAGTCTCTGGACCTCAAGAATATGAAGCAACGAATCTCTGACGAATCAGAAATATTCGTTGACTATCACAATCCTTTTTTATATTCATCTCCATGTCTAGTCAAAACTAAACCATATGTGAAGAATATCATCATCAGAAGGGGTACTTCCTTAATAGGGGAAATACTTATTTATCATACCACTTCCCTCTTTGGCATTTCTGTGACTTTTGTTTTGTGACTGATCATTTTGAAGGAAAACGAAGTATTAATTTGCAATTCTGACGGCCCAGGTTCATACCTCTAAGGCAGTAGTTCCCAACCTTTGTTAACCCTGGTGTTTTTGGACTGCAACTCTCAAAGAATTTGTTCCCATTTGTTAACCACCTTTTTAAAGTGAGGTGTCGAGAACTGGACACAGTACTCAAGATGAGTCCTAACCAGTGCTGAATAGAAGGGAACTAGTACACCATGTGATCTGGGGATTATACTTTAGTTAATGCAGCGTAAAACAGCATTGGTGTTTTCTTTCTTTCTTTCGTTTGCAACCACATCACACTCATATTCACCTTGTGATGCCCCACTCCTCCCCGTTTGAGAGGGGGCCACTGATAAGCACTCTCTGAGTGCAATTTTGTGTATCCATTTCTAACTAGTTGTTCTGTCCAGCCCACACCTGGTTAATTTACTAAGCAGAATATCTCGAGACATTTTATCAAAACTTTATCAATATATATTAAGATATCTCACTCTCTACCCAGGGAGGTTATTCAATCAAAATATGAGATAAAGTTAGTCTGGCAGGATTTGTTTTTGATAAATGACAAATCCATGTTGGCTTCTACTTTCAAGGTGCTTGCAGAATGACCACTTTATAATCTGCTCCAGAGTTTTTTCTGAATCTGATGTCAGACTGACTGACTGACTGACTGGTCTATAGTTCCTGGTTCCCCCCTTTGAAGATAGGGAGAATATTAGCCCTCCCCCAATCATCATGCTGGTTGCAAGTCCTACACTTTTAGCCAACATCATTTTTCCTTCTTGCTCCAAATCCTTGAGTCATTTTTACTAGCAAGATTACCTGGTTTCAGTGACAAACTATGTACAGTAGATGCTCTAAATTGTATTTGTGACTTAAGTGATAGGAAGAGAGCAAATAGTACGTGTGAGATAATAAATATGGATAAATCTTAGATTATTATCTCATGTTTAAATGATGAATATGAGAGTGCAACTGGTTGAAGGAAGTTTCTGTGGTAGCCTTCATGATAACTGCATTTTGGTTCCTGAACAATAATCCTTTGGATTGAATGCAATAACCATTGTGTAGCTCCACTTATGCAACAGGAATGACGTCACCATCTGTGACAGATTGTCACCAATTAAAGAGATCTTTATTCAAATGTGCAGCTGGCATGCAGTGATACAGAAGTGTGTGACACACTGAAATTGAAAAGGGGACTCTTTGATTAGCAGCAGTGTGCTGCAGCTGGTGATGTCATTCCTGGGTGGCCTACAAAACATGATACTGGCCAATGTGTTTGGATGCCCCACATGGTCATTTTAGTAATCCTGACATGCCTATTCCCTAAGAACAGGAAGTTCTTCCTCTTTGCTTCTTGGCTACCTCAGATATGTTGGGTGAGTTCTGCTGAACAACCCCGATGTTTCCCAGCAGTGTCCTTGTTCCCATTCTTGGGTTTAATATTTGTCATGGCTTTCCATGGATGTATTTTTGACAAATGAATACTGAAGGTGAAAGAAAAGTTATGAAATAGAATTGGGGCTATACTAAATATAGTCTAGTGTTATACAGAAGGTCCCTTTGTCCACTGAAGTGTGTGGTCAACTTCTTCTTTACACCATACATTTTTCATTTGGTTAGAATTTCAGCAGAAAATTTGTGGTGGGAGTGACAACATATGCTGACAAAGAAGGGTTCCAGATTGAACTGAAGAATCAAGGCACCAACATCACCACCTGGTTTTCCCTTCTCTTCCATCACAATGTGGGACAGCTGCTTCATATTATCCCACCAGAAATCCAGGTAAGTACATAGGAGATAGCCTTATATTCAGTCAAATCTAGAGCCATGTGGTTTTCATTGACCAAAGGCTGTTAGTGAAACATGGGCTCTGCCACAGAGCTGGACTCTCTTGTGTATGGAGTATGATGATTGATCTGTCTGGCTTATTACTGTCCATATCAGCAGTTGACATCTGCACAGCAGTTGGCTTCATGGCTACTCAGTTTTCCACCCATTCCTCTGGAATTTGAAGGGCCATGCTCACCAGTCAGTTCTACTAGGAATAAAATGGCATTTCAGGATGTGAAACAACAATAGTCCTAAAGTGGAGAACCAGGTCTCCCAGAGGCTTTGGGGATGTGATTGTCCCTTTTAGGACTGATTTTTATTTTATTTTTTGGTCAGCAGTGGAAGCATTCTTAAGGATCAGGGCAAGCCTAGATAAGCAACTCAGCCCATGGACTGCAGATTGACTAATCCTGGTTCCTGCAGAGTTTTGGGCTCTTCAGTTGGGGCAAAAAGAATAAAATAGATAGCTTTTAAAAATGTTTGTCATGCCAGGATGTAATGCATCTCTGCTGTTTTACTTGTACTTCTGCAGGTTCGTTGTGATGGAGAATCCACATCTCATCAGCTTTCTGGCCACTGTAGTGGAGAGATTGCAAGCCACTTGTTGGAGGTACAAGTTGCTTTTCTACAAGCTTAGTGAGCAGCAACATGCCATTGGGAGGCTTAGGGCTCAATCAAATCTGGCAAAAGAACCACAGTTATACGATATATCCCTTTTTAAAATCATTTCATAAATTTCCAAGCATACAATACGCAGCCAAGATCAACTCATTTTCCTGGCCAGCAGTTTATTTCTGGTTTATTTTCCCCTCACTGAGAGGTTTGTTTTATTTTCTACAGATAATGAAGCACTTCATTCTTTATTGTTTCAGCCTGTGTGGGATTGGGTTTCTGGGTACTGTGGCCACTTCATGGCCACTGTGTTTGTACCCTTAAAAATGTCAACACATTGGCAGTGACAGCTGCTGCTGCTAGCAAAAACAACATGAATATATTGTTTGGAAAGAGACAGTTTGAAGGATACAGCCTTCCCCCCTCTTACATGTGAAATAAGGTTTGAGGAGAGGCATTTCTTGCTTTTAATTATAAAGAAAGGAGTGTCACATCTCTCTCTTTTTAACCCTGCTTTTCAAGTCTTGCAAAAACCCATTTCCTCCTCCTGATGCTGTGCAAAAGACTTGCAAAGTACTGTTCTGTCAATTCATTTCCTTTGCAAAAGGTTTGCAAAAGGGAGGGAAGGGAAAAGGGTAGGAGGAGAGAAGGCTCAGCCCTCTCTATTGCACAGTCAATGTATCACTTTTGTAATTTTTTTTGAAAAAAAAGCATGAGCCTGATTGCCCCAAGAAACAGTAAAGAAACTAAATCAATACAAAATTAAGAGCAGTGTAGCTTGCTATAACAGTTCAGATAGAAAGAAATGAATTGATGAAGTTTAAAAAATGTGAACACTCCCACCAGTGTATATAACCATGTGACAGTGAAAATAAATGTATCAGTACAACAGAGGTATGGAAACATTCAGTATAACTGGTGTTCTTTTAGTAGGTGAATTAGGCCCTTAGTTGCTATAAAGAGAGGCTAGGTACTGGTGAAGGATTTTTAGGTGTTCAGATAGGCATGACTTTACTAAACTTTATGTACAGTGAATCAATTACCGTTGGGCACTGAACATACCATGAGATTTACTGTTCTGGATGCTTGTTAATCTACAGACCAATACATATGGCCATATTTAATCTTAGCCCTTCTGAGTAGTAGATGCATTCTGAATAAGAAGCAATTGCAAAACCTCTGTTAAAATGCTATGGATATGGATCCTTGATGATTCCTCACATGCCAAGCTTAAAGCTGACAGCAGAGATAGGGCAGACGTTATAATCTGGAGCAAAAGCGTTATAAATAGCAGCCACCTAGAGTGC